TACAAAATAAATATACATCTCTCTAACTGCACATTTCTGTTCCTCAGCCATGGCTGCAGAGCTCATGAATTTTACTTTTTTACTCCCTTTGGCAGCTTCAGAAACCCTGTAGCGTCTCATGCTCCTGTAAGCAAAAATTAATTTACAAGGTCTGGGCATTCAGGTAAAACCTAGTAACAGTATTGAACTTACACAGCTGGATTGCAGGTCTGCACAGAATTGACTAAATAGTGTCCAGTCCCAGCAAGGAACAAGGCTTAGTGTAAAACTAGTCATGGATTCCCAGGCAGGCACTTCTCTTTTTAAAGTTCCCCAAATCCTGGTCCACAGTAAAAATGACTGTTTTCCCCTCTGGCTGTTAGTATGATGAACACATGATGAACACTGGCACCCAGTCTGTGTGATGAGTGTGTTAGAACACTCAGGTTGCATAGGTAGGATGCTGGAAAATGGATAAATAAACAGACATTTAGACTGTAGGTCTGGTGAACTGGCACAAGTCTAGCTGTTTCTTCCCCTTTGAGACTGTCATGATAATTTGCAACTGGCTTATGCCAACTGAGGAGAGAGGTTAGGATGCAAAGCATTGAATTACAGTGGGCAAATGTTAATTCACATGCATGAGGTTTCCCAGCCAAATTTGGGCAACCTGAATGTGGTTTTACACACAATTCTTATACCCTTCAAATATTCAGGAAATACATGATTTGACTAATCACTTACACCCACACTTCTGATTACTAATAACAGTAAATCTCTGCAAAGCACCTGCATTTTTGCAGAATTCTTACTGCTTATCTGTTGATCCAGACATCCCTGGATTCAGTTTTGCTACAGTTACTTGCTCTGATGCCAGAAGATGCTGGCAAGATGTGGTCTAAGATGCTGCTGTTATCTTGGTTGTCAAAGTTCACACATCCAGGACTAGGTTACCCTTTAGTTTCTTTTACTTAAGCAAGAACAATACTAACTGCAGTAAAATTTCACAACTTTGTGACAATACAGTGTAAAAATGTGAAATAATATATATTAACAAAATTAATACACTGTTACACTATAAAGATTTGTTGATATAATAGTCAAGTAAGATAATTTTCATAACAACCAATACACATACTTAATGAAAATAATAATTAAAAATACAGGTGGGTGAATAGTCAGCTAATGTAGATTGTGGTTTTTCTCCTCTCTGGCATTTATTTCCATTAAAGCTCATAAGCAAAGCCCTAAGCAGAAATGAATGATGGCAAAGAAGGAACAAAGCAGAGAAAAAGCCTGGTCTGTAAGCAGAAGAACACTGCTTGTTTCAAGGGAGAACTGAGACTTAGAAGACTTCTTGCTGGTAAAAAAATCTCATAATTAGTGATAAAGATTAAAAAAAAATTTAAAGGCATCACTGTGTACTGTTGGTTGCCAAAAACCAGTGTGGAGACTGTAAAAGTGCAGGATCTGGTGTTTCACATTCCATCTTGAGCTGCCCCTCAATCCTTTACACTTCTGTGCTTCCCCAAATTATCTCCAGTTGTCTCTTCTGAATTTTCTGTAAGCTTCTCCTCTTTCTGTGCCAGGCTTTCTTAGGGAGAAAATACCTTTGTACTTCACCAAACACAGCAACAACCAAAACAACAAGGCTTTGGATATAGGGTATCCAAAAGGATATTATAAGGTTTTGGTTTACTGATCTGTGTGATTATTTTTCAGAAATCTGTGAAGGAAAATGTGCTATTTCAGACAGTTGCAGTGATAAATCTACCCTTGAAAAAAATCTTCTTGAAGATTTTATCCACTAAATAGTTCTGTTTCAAAACTGCTTGTCAAACATGTCCTCTCATGTATAAATAGTACCCTTCTTATTCTTTGCTCTGCCTGCTATTCTATTTGCTGTTCCCAGCTCCTCCCTTTCTTCTTCACATCCCTTTCTTTCCTTGTCTGTCTTTTATAGTCACTCTGTGTGTATATTGCTTTTTCTACCTCTGTCTCCCACCTCTCTTACTCTTACCCTCTTTCTTCTCTCCTTTTTCTTTGAAACTCTATTCCCCTTGTCTTAGCCTCACCCCTCCCTTTTATCCTCCTCAGCTATTCTCTCATGGGTGGTTTTCTTCTCTTTGGTTTGTGTGGTCTGCCCTGCACATTCCAATTCTTTTCTCTTCAAGACCTAACACGTTTCACACAGTGAGGAGAGTATTTGATAAATGAATTATGCTTTGCTGCTCTGGCCATTGTTTCAATAACTGCAACTTTAAATATTATGAGATCTGTTTGTGTGTCTGGACATTTGAAACTCATTATTGTGTGGAATTGTGTCTGTAAAATGAATGTCTGTCTGTGTAATGATTGCCTTTATCACTGTCTCCAAACTTTCTTGATCACATATCCCTCTTGGTAAAAGGCTTTAGCATACACTCCCGTTATACATATATTTACTTATTTATAAGTTATGTACTACTGAAATTCTATTACTTTCCTCCTGCACACCAGCAGGCTGCCTTACATATCCCTTTGGGGTGCATGCAGCCCTCTTTGGAGATCACAGCTCTATCATGCTTGCTCTATCATGCAAGCCACACTGCTGCATGGGATATGCTGGTTTTGTCACATTTAAGATTCTCCTGAGAATCTGATCCATGCGTGGTAGTTCGGATTGAGAGCTTTTACTTCTCTGTTTCTCTCATGTCGGCTGTGGTTGTTTATACATTGAGAGGGCTGAGGTTTTCTGGTAGGGTGTGTTAATTTGCCTAGCAGAGGGAAGATTTCAGAAACTGGAAATTTTTTTCTAAACATACACATTCTGCAGCAAATGCTGCAACACTGGAGAAAAAACCATTTAAATGCTGACGTAAAATTAATGCCTTATAAAAGATTGACTGTCAGCCATCCTTTCACTAAGTGAAGTTTTAAAGAGGGTTTGGATATTGCACGTGCACAGAAACTTTTCTCAGACTTCCCCGTTCAGCGTAGCAGTTCGCTCATGCTTGGCTTTCATTCCAAAAGGAGGAGGAGGAGGTTTTGGAAGGAATATTCCGTTACCATAAAGGGGAGGAAGTGTTTCTGCAGCTATTGAACAAAGCAGCTAGTTAACTTCTTTCCTGACCCCAGTGCAATGGTACAGTCCCACTGCTCCTTTCTAGGGACCAGATGCTCCTCGTAGTAGTAAAACGAGGAAGAAAGGAAAACATATGTGCAAAAATTTACTACCCAGCTACTAAGGACCAGATTCCAGAAGGAGCTGAATACCTGCAATTTCTCCTGAAGTAAATTTCTTTTAGAATCAGATGGGGGGAGGGAGAGAGAGGGAAGTTGGAAGGAAAGAGGTCTGTTGTAATTGGTGTCTAGAAACCCCCACAGAGAGGATTAAGAAAGAAACTATGCTGTCTGGGAAGAAGTAGGTATTTGTGTTACTCTGCATATATACAGAACTGCTAGAAAACACTGTGCTCTGTGGAAACCAGCCCTAGCTTTTTGAACACTGATGGTACTTCTTTTAAGCAGAACTTTATTGAATGTGCTTTTTCCTTTTGTATGTGTACCAGTGTCTTATGTGGAAGGGAATCGCGGTCACTTTCTATTGTGTGTGTTGTAAAGCTCATACTTCAAACCAAAGGGAGTTACTTTGAGAACAGAAGCCCAAAATTCTGCTCTGTGTTATCACAGAAGCATTTATGAATTGTAAGGCACTAAGCTTTGATAACTTTTCCATCCAGTCCTAATGCATGCTGTGTTTAGCTCACTGCACCCTCCCTCATTTTGTGCTGCTCGGCTGTGTAACTCACTGAATGGTAGGAATGAGTGGAGGGTAATGCTGTGTGCCTCATCCGCTGTCATTTCTCTCTATGCAGCCCAGTGACATTTGCAGAATGAGTAGGTAGACTCTTGTTCTTGCACTAGCAGGAAACAGGAGACACCCGGAAAGATTCTTCAGGAAAGGTGCTTTCAGTCCTTTGTTTCCATATTGGAAGGTGAGGTTCTCTTTTGGAAGATCTGAGAAACCCTGTTTGATTCACCCACATGATTGAGGTTTGTCAATACCTAGAGTGAAGGAAGCACCTTGCCTCTGTGACATTTCACAGAATCACAGCATGGGTCAGGTTGGCAGGGATCACAGGACAGATCATCTGCTCCAACCTCCCTGCTCAGACAGGATCATCTCAGAGCACATGGCACAGGACTATGTCCAGATGATTCTGGAATATCTCCAGTGAGGGAGACTCCCGTAACCTCTCTGGGAAATCCGTCCCAGTGCTCAGTCACCTGCACAGTGAAGTTCTTCATACTCAGGTGGAACTTCCTGTGCATCAGTTTCTGCCCATTGCCCTGTGTCCTAGTGCTTGGCACCACTGAGAAGACCCTGGATCCACCCTCAATACCCTCCCTGCAGATACTTAAAGACATTGATGAGCCCCCTGAGGGCATCTCTTCTAAAGGCTAAACAGGCCCAGCTCTCTCAGCCTTTCCTCATGAGAAAGGTGCTCCAGCCTGTTAATAATCTTTGTAGCCCACCACTGGACCCACTCCTGGACATCCATGTCTCTCTTTAATGAGGAGCCCAGAACTGGACACAGCACTGCAGAGAAGCCCAGAACTGGACACAGCACTCGAGAGGAGCCTCTCAAGGGCTGAGTAGACAGGAAGCATTGGAGGTGGAGTACAAGTAAGCGCAGATGCACGAACTTGAGGCTGGGTTATACAGACCAACAGGAGATGGCACACAGTAACATGGATTTCAACAATGACAGACTGAGCAAGGATCAGTCTTGTGCAGCCACACCGTCCTTCCTGACCTGAACCTGGCAGGGGCTCGGCCAGAGGTTGGAGCAGGCACAGCTGCGGCCACGCTCGGAATCCCTGGAGAGCAGGAGGTGAGGGAAGACCCTTTCGGAAAATCCCCCTCTGGAAGAGGCTGGCTGGGGGAAGCGGGAGGGGTTCGGCAGCGGAGGGAAGCCGGAGCCGCCCAGCGACCCGCCCAGCGGAGCGGCTCCGAGGGGAGGCTGCCGGCGGCCAGGGGAGCCGGCGGCCAGGGGAGCCGGCGGGGCGTGCGGCACACAGGATAGCGATGGCCGCGGAAGTGACAGGAATGGCTGCAGCCGCCTCGGAGTGCGGAATCTCGCAGCGCCCCCACCCCCATTTGCCGTCGCTGGGCTTCTGCTAAGGAAAGCAGGTCGGGGGGGCGGAGAGAGAATGGAGGAGGGGCACGGCGAGAAGAGAGGGAGGGAGGCAGGAGGGAGAGAAAGCGAGCCAGAGTGTGGAGCCCAGAGAAAGGGACAAGGCAGATCCTGGGAAGCGAGAGAGACTCCTGCAGGAGGGAGAACCTGGGCGGGGAGAGCACATTCCCAGTGAAGGGCCTGGAGGGGAGCGCAAGGATCGGGACTGCTCACAAGCAGCCGACTTGTTGAAAGACGTCGAGCGAGGCCAGAGGCTGTGCCCGGGGCCGGGGACAAAGCGACGTTGGGCGCGGAGCGAGAGGGAGCTGGCGCTGGCCCGCCGGGATGGTGCAGCTCTCGCGGTGAAAATGGTCTTTGTCCAACTTTTCTGATGCCGAGAGGCCGGGCGGCGCGGCTCTAGCGGGAAGGGCTCCTGCGAACACTGCTCGAGTAATGCTGGGAAGTGGAGGGAGTTTTGCTGGAGTCCTGCACAAGGTACCGTGGCGGGCGGGCGATGACGGGCATTGTGAGCCCGACTGGAGCGCTCGGAGCGGGCGGGACGTGGTCGCGGGTACCCGCGGATGTCTGCCATCCGGGGGGAGGGGGCGCAGAACAAACGAGAACTACTTCGAAAGGGGTTAAAACTCCTCCGGTGATGTTCTTTTCCCTCCTTTCCCGGTATGTGCTGTTCACAGGCGGCGTTACCGGGACCCTCCCCCGAGCGCACGTCTGCTGTCAGGTGCCGGCCGTGGGCACAGATGTGGGGAATCGGGTCACGGCCCCTCCGCTCTCGGAGACTGCCATCACCCCCAGAGCCCTTCCACACGGCCGTGGTGCGTTTGGTTTGCTCCCCGAGCGGTGTTTCCCCCTCTCCCTCTAGGCCCCTTGGAGAACCATAGGGAATTGCTGCCTTTGAAGTCTCTGAGTGGGGCTTGAAGGATGCTGGTGTGGGGTTCGCGGTCCTCGTGGAACGACACAAGGAAGGCTGTGTGGCCTTGTCTGTGGGTAGTGTTGCTCAGCGCTCTTGTGGGGCACAGATGGCTGTATGAGTACTTGTGGCAGAGAAAAACCATGTTAGGCTATTTTTCAAGGAGATAATGCAAGTTACTACTACTCAAGCTAAATAAATCCGTGAATGTGGGAGGGGCTGTTGTGATGGGTAATTTTAATTTTGCCTTTTGTGGTATCGACTGAGATGATTTCACTTACTCTGAAGTTTCTCTTGCTATTACCACACTCATTTGGCTGGGAAGGAGAGTGAGCATTACCTGCCTTTCCTACAGGTTAAAAAAATCAGAGAGTGAAGAAGACAGGGAAGCAAATCTCCCAAGGGGCATCCTTCACTAGCAGTAATACCAGGTCATGCAGATTCACGGTGAAGTAGAGTGAGGGGGCAAATGGAAACAACAAAGTCAAGGAGAGTTAGCTGCCACCAGACATGTCTGTTACAGAGACAAATCTCAGCTGCAATGGAGGAGGAGGCTTCCTTTTTCATTATTATATAGGTTATAATCCAAAACATGGAACTGGATGTGGGTGCACCTCATATTTAGTCACAGCTGATCCACCTGTGCTAAGCCATTAATACAAGATTTATTGGCTACTTATAGGTATTTCTTCATTCCCATTTTGAAAAAATCCCAACGCTGATGTTCCTTTGGGAGAAGGAAAGGAAAATATAGTCCACAATCCTTCTCACCCCATCTCATTGCAGAAAAAAATAGTTTTTCTCTAGAAGTTCATTCCCTAAATTCAACACCTTGCACTACTTCAGTTTACTTTGGTAATGTATTGGCAAGCTTCAGATAACTCCACATAATTGCATTCTTTCCTTTACTGCCTTTTGACTATGCTCTCTCAGCCAAATTACTCACATGCAGTTTTTAATTCCCTGACTTGTATGCCCCTCTAGCCCCTAAACATTTTTCTTGTCTTCTGAGTTCTCTCCTATTTGACATTCTTGCACTTGCACTGAGCTGCTCAGAATTGTTTGCATGGCCATGTGTTTTGATTTTTGGAAAAAGCATCACTTTGGTACACTGGATATTGTATGAAGTAGGATTGTATCTCTTTCTAATTTAATCACTGAAACCCCACAAAAAGTCATGTTTTCTTGCATTGTCCTGAAGTTCTCAGTTATTCCAAGCTCCTATCTGTGGCATGAACAGCTTAGGTTGTGGAGACTTGGGGATGGGGAGGAGATGTCTAATTCTTTTTTCTTTTGCCCAAGGCTGCTACTGTCTTCGCCTCCGCTATTTTGCTTGGAGGCTGACCAATGGCACAGTGTAAATCCTTTTTGGGGGGAAGGCAGCTGGTGGCTCCAAGGAGGCAGCTGCTTATTCTCCAGCATGCTCCCATAGGCTGCCAACAGATGTGTCTGACAAAGGAGTTGGTCCCTTAGCCTGTTGAGAATTGTCTTCCTTATGCCTGTATGCATTCACTGTGTGGATCCCTCTTTGTGCCCAGGTGCAGATGGCTTCCCCTTCTCCCCTCTGATATTGCATGTGCCATATGCAGAGAATCATGTAAGAGATGAGTGTATTTCCCCCCTGCTCCCCTATCTTGTGTGCCTCTAATTAAGACAGTTTTTGTTTTTTGGCCAACTTTCCTTTCCTGGATTGTCAGAAGATTTATGCATGCTTTTCCTCTGGTTCAGGAATGCTCCTGTCTCCAGATTTGCTCCTCTAAAACCTTAGTTTCTTTGTATTTCATTATCCATCAGCAGTCCCTGTGCAGAGAGTTAACCTGAAGTCACTGCAGATTAGTGCAGAGTGCTTTTGGAGCACACTTAAGGTTGCACAATATATTTTTATTTTTCATTTTTGTGGCCATATTGCATACGTTTACTGCACGCCTAAACAATAGAAGGTGGAAGAAGTACAAATTGGTGGCCAAGCTAGAGCTTTCTAATGTCATTTAGCCACCAAACAAGAGGGCAGTGTCTTCTAAAAAGGATGTTGTCATTAAAAAGTATTTATTAAGAATATTTCAGATTGTCTGGTTTTGGTCATAAACATGTGATGATTTTTTTCAAAAAGCTCAATGACTTATTTCTGTGAAAAGTAGATTAAAGGTTTAGGAAGAAACTGATGAGCCCCTGTAATACTCTCATTATTTAGTCTTGTTTGCTGTTGTTTTTTTCCTTTAACCTGATTTAGTATTATATTACAGTTATATCTTCCTGTTGATTTTGATTTTGTTAGAAAGTTTTGTATCATCTTACAGAAATACAGATAAGGCATTTCTTCCAGCTACTGACTGCATGCATTCAGCAGTTTTCCAACTCAATATGACCTTATACTTTAGCTTCTACCTGATAAATGTTGGGCTGGATATCACTTTTCTCTCCATGTTTGCTCTTTGGCAACAATGAAGTGTCATGGGCTTCAGGGGTGTACACAATTGTAACACAGGTGTATTTTGTAAATAATTCTGTAGATGTTGTACAACAGCAAACTAGCACTTTTTCTCCAGTGCTGCTTTGACATGAGCATGGGGGTAAACAGACCCCCAAAAGGATAAAAGCTCTGTAACTGTCAGCCACAGCAGTCAAATATGTGAGCAGCAACTCTGAGTAAGAAAAAGCCATTTCATGTTGTCACTTTTCTCATACTTGATTTATACAAGGAGTTTTAAACTTAACAAAAAACTACACTAGTATTTCCTTCTCAGAGGCAGTCTGTTGAGCTTTCAAGAAATACTCCTCTGCCACCAGAAACAGAATTTTATTGGAAGTATACTGTTAATTTATGTTGTGTTTTTTAAAATGCAGTTAAAATGTGTGTACTTTTTGGAGATCCTGGCACCTTATTTTATTCTGAAGGTGCTGTCTTGCCTCTTAAAAAGTCACCATGGAGCAAGCTGATGCTTCTGTCACAGAGGTGCTACTTGAAGATTGTTATTGAGACCACTTCTGACAAAAGCTCTTCTTGTCACTGGTTTCACTTTTTCATGCCTCCAGAGGCCCTTGTGCATTCTGCTACTCAGGCCTGCTTGTCAGGAAGATTTTTGTTCAAATGTTTCACATGCGCACCCCCACACCCGTGTGCACACGTGTGCGCATGCCCGTGTGTGCACACAGCTGCAGGCAAAGAGCAGAGAAGATGCTGGGTACCATAAGAACACAGCCTCTCCAGCCTCAAAACTACAGTCTTACATATGAAAGCTGAATCCTTAAGCTCTTGATTCTCCTTGGGATGGAAATTCTCACCAGCCCAGACCTGCACATTGAAACATACATGACTTCATTTTCAGACAGGCTTTTTTTTCCCCTCTGTCTCCTTAAGCTTGCCAAGTAAATGATTCCTCTGCTGATTCTGCAGTTTCCAAGTACAGTTTTTTGCTCTGTGCCATGTCTATGGAAAATATCCCATGTGTCTAAATCATGTAATTAAACCCTAGAAGCTAAAGACTGAGAACTACTGACTCTTTGTAAGATATTTCTGTTTTAGCATACTGATGTTTCTCCAAGTTACTGTAAAGCTTTCAAAGCTCCCTAAATGACCTGATCTCTCTCCCACTTACTGCAGAACACTCACATGATATGAATCTGTTTGGCCCAGCTGACCACTTCAGAGGCAGTGTGTAGGATACAGACGCCTGTGTGGAAGCCTTTAACATCAGGCTTACCAAGCTTCTCTCAGATCCTGGGGATGTCTGCAAATGGAAGCATGGTTCCTTGGCAGAGCTCTCTTACCTTCTTAATTATTCTCTAAGAACAGAGTGGGATGTCACAAGAGGGACAATATTGCAGATTCTTCTGGACAGGTTTTGAATAATTTCAATTTGGAAATTCAAACTGGGCTGTTTATAAGACTGTTTGAATTTCCAAATGTTAGTTTTCAGTCACAGCTAGGATCAATTTCATTCCAGTACGCAGAATCTGGAATGCTTTCTGCACCAGAAGATTTTTGAAATTTCTCCTCCTTGGGTTTGAGCCAGGAAGAAGCTGCTGGAAGGACAGCTGGATTGGGATGCATGTCTGCAGTTGTCTCCCAGACGGTCCCTTCCCTTTCTAATGTCAGTGGGCTTTCAGCTGGTGCCAGCAGCAATGGGGATGCAAATATGTACTGACATTTTTACTTTTCAGTGAGTTCAGTAATCCCATTTGGTGCATGTGTTATCCATGAAGGGGCTACCATATCAGCAGTTAGCACTGCCATCACTATGGTATCAGGAATGGAATAGTGCTGTTGAGGAATGTTTATTTCATTGCTAGTACAGAGAGCATCTTAGTGGTCTTCTCCTCTTCCAGCATCTAACCATGTTAGAAGTACATAAGGATGTTCTCATGTGATGTGAGAACAAATTCTGGTGACTTGAATGTAAATCAGCAGTCTGGTAAAATCTGGGGGATAGGTAGAGGCTTTGACAGAGGGAATCTTCTTAGTTTGCACGTGCCGTGTTCTGCTGGGACATGTATGTGGAGTCAGATGCTGAAGAGTAATTAGTCTTCATTTTGAGCCTTACTGTAGCTACCTTTTTGCTTGGGGCCCCACGCTGAGCACCAGAAAGACATTTGGTGAAATAACGTAATGGGAATGATACATGACTTGTGCTCCTTGTTTCAGTCAGAAGTCCTCTTAACTCAGACTGGAAGAATGGTGTTGACAGTTGTGTTTCTCATGGATAATTTTACCACTCTTGAATTAGAAGTGGCTCTGGAGCCTCAGAGAGCTGGAGGTTCTTAAAAGAACTGAGGACATCTTCAGGCAGAAGATCCAGGGCCATGAAGGGAGGGCCAGAAAAGGCCAGGAAGGGGCTTGAAGGACCTCTCCTGAAGACAAGCTGAAAGAGCTGGGATTGTTCAGACTAGGGAAGACTCTGGAGTGACATTATTGTGGCCTTCCAGTACCTAAAGGGGATGTAAGAGAGCTGGAGAGGAACTTTTGGCAAGGACCTGTGAGCAATACAATATCTGGGAAAGACTTCACAGTTGAATGGTTGGTATAGAGGAAGGAATTCTTTACTCAGAGAGTGGTGAGGCACTGGAACAGGTTGTCTAGCAAAGCTGTGGATGCCCCATCCCTGGTGTTCGAGGCGAGGCTGGATGGGGCTTGGAGCAACCTCGTCTAGTGGAAGGTGTCCCTGTGCATGGCAGGGGTCAGAATTGAATGGTCTTTAAAGTCCCCTCCAACCCAAACCATTCTGTTATTTTGTGAAATCAAATTAGTGACTAGATCCCTGTTACCTGATAAGAATCACTTAAAAATTGTCTCCTAAATAGATTCTTCTGATTGTGTTTAATGGGTTACCCCCCAAAAAGTGTACATGATGACAGAGTGTGAAGAAAGCAAATAAGTCTTTAGAAACAGAGTAAAAACAAAACTGTTAAATTCTTTAAAAGAATTAAGCTAAGACAGATCTTACTCTGTTTGATAAATTAACATCTACTGAACAGTCCTAATTGAAAGGATCAGAATAGGGTCTGTTGAATTGTACATTTCCTGCTTCTGCTGGCTGATAGTTGTACCAGGCCACTGTACCAGATCAGTGTTGAAAAGAGTTTTGGATATGGAAATCAGAGTGGGAAGGGGAAACTTGCCTTAAATCCTTAGAGAGTTATTTTAAAATTAGTTTTTAGATTATTTTTTAAAAGGCTTAGCCTTCCCCTCTTCCATCCAAATCATAGCATATCAGCCTGGCATTTTCTACTTTTTTTCTTTTACGGGTCTGAACCTGTGGTGTTGAAATTGGACAGTCCCTGACTTGATGGCACTAATGCAAATGCACAGAGACTATTTGTGTTTGACTGCATGAACTTCTCTGCCAGAGCGCTGATGAACTGCGAGCTCAGTGAAGAGCAACAGAAGTGATTAGGTGACTATGGAGAATTTTTAAAATGCTATTAAAAAGCACTAGCTTACTGATGAGTGAAAAGGGTTTGCTCTGGAGTAGCTAGAGTACCTAAAAGACTATTGACACGATCCTAGGCAATGTGCTGGCCAAAGGAAAAGGGCTGGCTCAAATTGTCCAAAGTAGATGGGTTTGGGTTCAGTATTAAGGCATGACTTCTTCCAGCAAAGACCCACATAGATGGTAGAAAGTCATGGAAGCCTTATTGATGATGACATTTAAAAATATGACTACGGAAGCTTAAAGAAATATGCTGACAAAAATCCTGCAGTTGACAAGGGACTGTAGGCCAGATATTGTCTAAATAAAGGTGCCCATCCTCCCTTTTTAATTTCTATTATTATAGTCTTACCAACAACTGGGGGAGGGACTACATTCCTGACAGAAAATGTACCTTTCATCCCCTCTGTTAGGACCAAGACTGGTTGATATCCAAGGAAAGGAAATGGTGTATTGTACTCACTCCATTTTAAATGTAATCCTTTGGTTTTGAGGTTGGATGTGGATGTAACAGGAGCAGTGAGCCCCAGCATCCACACTGAAATATAAATAAGCCTTTGAGACACTGAGGAGGCAGGATGAACTCTGAGAATTATGTGTTGTTGCTTTCATCTCTGGCATGAAAAATAATACAAACATGCATTAGAAAGAGGTGCTGTGAGCCTGAAATATCTTTCTACCGTAACTTGCTTGGCCTTCCCTTTTCCTCTTAAGACTATTTCTGTTCTGATGAAGTATTAGTGGCACATAACGTTCCCATTTCCTGAGGGAGGAAACATCAAACTGGAAATGCAGGATGGAGGAGGAGGAGGAGGGAAGGACCTGAGAACAAAATTGGCTGCTCTTCAGACTTTGCCAGTGGCAAGTTCAAATTTTTGGTGGAGCTCTTGCTACACATGGGCTCCTTCTGATGCTTCACTGAATTCAGGTAATTGTGTCAAGCAGTCATTGCCATTCAGATCACCTCTTCTTTGCAGCCTTCATCTGACTTCTTTTCTTCAAGCTACCATTTCTGCTTCAATTCCCTCTTGATTGTCTTGTAGACGAGATCCAGTTTTGGGCAACCTGATTCCTGAAATCAAAGTGAAAATGTGGTTGGAACCTTGAATCATTAGTGTTGTTCTCCAAATAAACATCTAGATGTTGACAAAAGTTAAAAGAAACTTAGTGTGAAAGACCAAGTGAGATTTTTCTGAAGTCCAGCAGAACTTCTGTAGTGTCGGTTCTTGTTGCTCAGTTCAGTCATTTTAACAGTGAGACCAAGGAAGTAAGAGGAAAGACAGCTGAGTCTGAATGAATATTATGGATTTCAAGACTGTAACTGAAGACAGCAAAACTGAAGAAACCATCTTTTTTCTCAAAGTCTTTTCAGAAGAAGTTCTAGGTCTCATAGTTCTTTTCTCTGTGTTCTCAAGAGGATGCTGCCAAGGTAGCTCCCTAATTGCCTGTTACTGCACAGTGAAGTAACACCTCCTGCAAGAAATGGATGTAGACAGACTGTAGTAAGTGTTGGTATGCACTTCTCAGAGTATGACCAGTGCAGTGCAGGGTTGTTTTATGATGTTTTAGTACCTAACATGAATGTGAGACTCAAACTAATGGTAGAACAGACAGAATTCCCATCTAGGCAAACAGTGGTCATAAAAGAATGAAGGCTGTGTGGTAGAGCTCTTCTCTGAGCCATTTTATCCCTCTCTCATAGCTTCCTAGTTTTGTGCATATATTTCCACATCAAATGCTCTAATTTACATGCTGGAGCTAAAGCTTGTATATTGTATAGCCTGTTGGTGCAGTCAGCAAAACATAAGGGAATCAGCTTGACTGAATATAATTTTTTATTCTCACTACCATTTGGGGAGTATATTATGTTACAGCGCTCAGTTGGGGCAACCTTACGAACTCAAAAACTGGTATTTGTCATTCTGTGGGGTTATAACTAGAGGGGGTAATCATCTGCATTGAGTGAAGGTAGGAGACTAGGTTTGGACAGCAAGGTCAAAGCAGTGAAAAAGTCAGTAAAGTGATCGTGCTTCAGTGCTTTTCTGCCTTGTTGTTTTACAAAGAAGCATTCTTGCTTCTCTTAACAGGAATAAAAACAGTGATGAAAAATAATGCTAGTAATTAAATAGTTTAAAAGTAGCCTCTATCTGCAAATGCATGAAGCCAACAATTTGTGAACCAAGCTCTGTGACAGCCCAGGGCTGTGAAACTGATTAAAATGGAAAAAAGTAGTTTTAATTAACCCTTAAATTATGAAGCACATTCTCTGAAAACCCAAGCTGCCTCATTGAAGCCAGACAGGAGGTTAATAAAAAGAGCTGCACTTAAATTAAGATGCTTTAATATTATTAGTCCTTTCTGTAATCTGTTTTGAAATGACAGTTTCTCTCATGGAATGAAAGGTAATTTCAAAATGATGGGAATTCCCATAGAAGAGGAACATTATCTTTTAACCGGCTGTCAGTGCTGCCACTATATCCAAATAGACAACATAACCTTGGATACTGTGAATATGAATAACATGCATTTTCTGCTTATGCTGAATATTTCTTACTGTAAAACCCTCATGAAATCAAAAGTAAAATTAGAGATGAAGACAGTAAGCATATTTTTGCAAAAAATGAAGTTCTTTACTGCAGCTGAAGAAAATATTAATCCTTACTAAAGGATTTTTTTAAACTGGTCCACAATGAGCAATTTAAGAAAAGTATTTTCAGCTTGTTCTTTTTTTTTTTCCTGAGTTGTATCTTTTGAGTGTTTGTGCATGGATCTTGATTCATATATTTCTAGGCATGCCATGTAAGGCTACATTCTTAAATTACAATGGGAAGCAGCGCTAGTAGAAAACATCTCTTTTCTCAGACTTACTCATATCTTAGTGTTGCAAGCCACTCTCACTTTAGCTCCTGCTCAACCCTTCAGGCCCTTGATTTCTTTTCCAGTGTCCTGAGAGTGCCTTTAAGGCTGTTGGGCAGTTCTGTGTTTGGGTTGTCTGTGCAGATTTGCAGTTGCATTTGCAGACTTGGTCAGCAAATGTCAAGGTTATTTTTCTGATTTGTGGCATTGCTTGTCTGGCCATTGCAAACACTGTGCTTGGCTTCTTTACCACTTTCCACCCATCAGCAAGCAGAACTTGGTATACAATAACTTTAATTTCACTTGAAAAAAAAAAAAAGCATGATCAGCATTGCTGAGTAGATGAGAACATGATTTTAGGGACATTCTCTTTACGTCACTGTTGTGGTTTAACCCCAGCTGGCAGCTAAGCAGCACACAGCTGCTCACTTAGCCCCCTACCCTCCCATCCCTCCCATCCCAGTGGGATGGGAAGGAGAATTGGATAAAGGTAAAAGACATGGGTTGAGATAACAGCAATTAGAACAGTTTAATAATTGGAGTAAAATAATAAGAGTAATAATGGTGATGATGATGTTAATGAAGGAAAGGAAAGGAAAGGAAAGGAAAGGAAAGGAAAGGAAAGGAAAGGAAAGGAAAGGAAAGGAAAGGAAAGGAAAAGAGAGGCATAAACCCCAAAAACCACAAGTGTTTCATGGTACAGTCTCTCACCACCTACTGATGGATGCCCAGTGACCCGTGATCAACAGATCCTGGCCACCTCCCCTCTGTTTATAGACTGAGCATGATGTTCCATAGTGTGGAATATCTCTTCAGCCTGTTGGGGTCAGCTGTTCCCGGCCTTGCTCCCTTCCAGTTTCTTGTCCATCTCCTCACTGGCAGAGCATGGGAAATTGAAAAGTTCTTGATTTAGAGTAAGCTTTACTTAGCAACAACTAAAACGTCTGTGTTATTAAGAGTATTCTCAATCCAAAACACAGCTCTGTGCCAGCTCCTAAGAAGAAATTTAACTCTATCCCAGGCAAAACCAGGTCAGTAAAACATTCTTTGTTTAATAACCATTTGTGAAAATGTGTTATTTCTCTTCCCCTTTTAAATGCCAAAATAGGGTGCATCTTTTTTCTTGTTTTCAGATGTCTTCTGTTATAAAATTTCAGTGAATTTTGGGGTATTTGCTTAAAATTAAGTTGCATCAGAGAAGGAAGTGTCAATTTTCGAAGAATTTTTAGTACCACAGATTACTTTCACCTAGAAGTTAATAATGTGGTGATCTTCAGGGATACTTCAGTTGTCTAGTCTGTGTCTTCAGAGTCTAGTATTCTAAACTTAAAATTATGTGCTTAGAATTTTAGAAATACAATATTTTACATAGTGCTTGACAAAGGTTTGCAGCTGTGCTCTAGAGTTGTGAAGTGCATATTTTTTTCCTCACTGAAGCGTTGTGTCTTCCTTTTGTACAGCAGAAAGTATAATTGTTGAAGATAAATTATACTTGAAGTTGATAACATCATGTTTATTTCTACATAGATAAAAGTGCAGGGTTCTGTGCACAGTTGTACTGAGAGAAGTATCCTGAGAAATTAGAGTAAAATCAATAACAGGACAGTGAAACCATACCCAGTGGGTACAGTTGTCATCTTCTCTTTCCATCAAAGAAGATAAATGTAATGGACAGCTGCTAATTCATTTCTTCCTGTTTGTGCAGTCTCCTTTATTTACAGTATGAAAATTCAAAGGGATTAATTTCTGTATCACTTCCTTTTATATTTTAGAGGAGTGTCTATTAGGCAAGTAATGGATAACATGAATAACAATTAATTTCTTCACATTTTTCATTCTATAATGCTGTTAATATTCTAAAGCTGGGATTTTGCTTCCCCTTGTTAATGTTAGAAACTTGACTATAATTGCCAATGTTTCTTTGAAAACTACACAAGTCACTATAAAAATTGTGAGTGAAGTCAAATCTTTTGAGGTGGGAAGAAATTGTTTTCAGGAACTTAATTGTGTTTAATATGTATGTAATTCAAGTACATAATAGATGGAAGAAAGAGTCTGTATCTTTAATTAGACTTTTTTTTTTAATTGCCATAGTTTCAAGAGATCAGTTGTCCATCTTTGTTAGGCATAGCAAAACATGATGCGGAGGCATTGAGAAAGTCTTCAGAAACACAGGGCAGCTGTGAATGAATTTTACTTTGGAAGAAAGACTAGATTTACAAGCTAAGCTGTAAAGTTACTCTAGCCAAGTATGTGTCATGGCAGAGAAGAGAGATTTAAGGGAAAGCACTGTAGTTATCTAAAGAGATGCTAACTTTGCCTCCTGTGTGGGTTGGGAGATCACACAGAGGCTCAGAATCTTCCTAGATACCTTCGGGCTACGCCTGGGGAGTCATGGGGGGGGAGGGGGGAGCTGTCCATAGCTCCCTTTTTAATTTGTGCAGATCCTAGTTACCCTGGTGAGCATGATTCAGCTCAATCCACTGACTGTAGAGGTCATTTGAGTGATTATGCTTCTAAGTTAGGCACCCTATTAGACCCTCAAGGGTTTAATAAAAATTCATGAAAATAAGCGTCTCTTTCTTCCCTTTAAGAGCTGTGGAAGTCCTTAATTTGGATCCCACTAGGAAATGTATAATCAGAGCATGGAAGATCAGCTTCAAGACTCCTGGTGTTTCCATGGTAAACAAGAAAATAAATGCCTTTCTTTGGAGAACATTCAGAATCAGCTTTTGGAGTGTCATTGTATACTTAAGGGATCCCAAGAGACACAGACACAACTCTATCTAGATAATCTGTAGGAAGCAAATGATCAAGCCAGCTATGAAATATGCTCTTGAGGAAGTATTCCTTTAAACTTAGTTATACATTTCATCTAGACCGTTTCTCTCAAAATTAAATGAATCAACTGAACAGACTGTAAAAAATCCACAAGGGTTTTCTCAATAAATTCTGCTCTCTTCTCAGATATTTTCAAAGTAGTTTGGTGTCATTAAAAATAATCTCAGTTAGTAACAGAGGATAAAAGAATATGCAGCAGCTATTGAAATTATCTAGTTATTTAATCAATCATTTTTCTGTGGTGCTTTATGTGCCCATAAAAATAGTAATAGAATTTTTGAAGATAACACATTGACTTCATTATATTAAAGCTATGAATGATAAATTATGTGTTGCTCCCGCCCCCCCCCATTCACTTCCTGTTTGGGGCGTAGAAAAATTTCTATGAATAGCACTTATTGTATTTATTGTCTAAGAAAGAAGGTAGGCAGTATTATGTCATGCTCAGAGTGCTGGACAGGCACTGAGTGACAGCTTTTCACAGCAGCATTGTGAGATTTATCCCAGTGAGATGCGTGACCACTGCTGCAAGGGCATCCCAGTGGCAAAGGAGCAATTATAGTAGGACAGAACTGGGGGCACAAAGGAGGGGGGGAGGTCTTTTGCTTGATGTGTAACACTATCATGATTCCCTATTTATCGTGAATGAGAGGTATTAATTCCACTTTTTGTACTCTGCCTAAGTGTGATGAATCAGTGTGCAGCACAAATTAATTGGAATAGTAGTTTATTGACTCTCCCAGATGTGCTCATTTATCTTTTTAATGGTTCTTGCTGAGAGATAATATTAAGCTGATATGAGTCACAGTGCAAAATGTGCAGGAGGAGGAAAGACTGTATTTGCAAAGGTACAGCATTTTCTCTACCCTGGAGAATTCTTGAGGTGCATTTATTTTGCATCTAGATCATTTGTGTGAGGAAGAAGTATGACAAATACAGGGAAAATTTCTGGAATCAAGTGTAGCAGAGGGAAGTTAGACCCATAGAATGGTTTCTACTGTGAAATAGGCCTAGAGGAGTCAGTTAACAATGAACAAGGAAGAAGCATTGTTCCAGTGGGAGGAAACAAGATGATTTGGAAAAGTTCTTGGAACAGATAAGAAGAATTGAAAGCAGAAAAAAATTGGCACTGTTACGATTTCAGCTTCTATTAGTAGAACAATATAAAATACATAAAAATACTTTGTTGCACGAGGGTAGACATCTTTCCAAATCTGTTAGAAGTTCAAAACAGGGACTGGATGAATTTCTAAAGAGATACTAAAGTGAATCAGTTGGGGGATATTCTCTAGTAATCTTTGTTTTACATTTGTGGATACTGGAGGAAGAGGAGGGAAGTGGGTCACATAGAGGTCAGACTTGCAAGCTATCTGTGCATAGCACCTCTTCCTGGCACTGGGGACATGGAGAAAACTTGGCTTAGGTGGACATTCATCTGCTTCTGCATTTTCTTATGTGTTCAAATGTAGAACTCAAAGAAACAACTATATTCAGGCCCTCATCTTTTCTCCAGAAAGCTTGTGCAGTACCTGAACAATCCTAGCTTTTTTCTTAATCCAGAAGGCATACCTGAATTCCTCCTGTGGAAGCCAGACACATGCATGGTTCTGATGAGTGGTTAATGCTATTTGAAGTGAGGTTCTGCTGGTGGTGTCTGTCAGAGGGGAATAGGGTCACTGTACTTTACTTTCTGATCTGTGACTACATATTGTCTGGGTAGTAAGCTGGAATGTGCTTCAGTGAAGATTTGTCGAAAAGTTTTATGGTTGGAGTCAAAAGGTTGAGAAAAGGAGGGGTTTTATTCAAAGCTTAGGTCCAGAATAACCTGTGGCCAGCACAGAATTAACACATATATCTAGCTGTCACTGTTTTTGATCAGTCTCAGAGTGCCATGCAAACTCCAGAAGAATAAAAAAGCAGTCCATTCCAAGGAGACCCCTCTTAGGTTTGTCATGTGCATGACCACCTTCATCAAGATTCCAGACATATACCACTGAGGTGCTCTAAAATAAGTGACTGCACAAACCTTGGAGCAAACCTGCTTCCTTTCTAAAAAAACCCCACATGCGCTGATGGAAGGGAGTTCTCGATTAATGATGACCTGTTTAGCAGCACTGGTGCCTTATGGCCCTTCAGGTGGCATCACTGACAATGCTTGAACTTTGAGGGAATCCTTTGTTTGCATAAAGAAGCTGCTGGAAAGCTACTGGCTTCATGAAATGCTTTGCCACAGCTTGGGAACATCATGGGCAGACAGCAGCCCTCTTTGTGACAGAAGTCTCACAAGCACAGAGCTGTACTACTGTCAGTTGTTTTAGCACATGTGGGAGCACTATCACTATCTCCTCTCTACCACTGAGCATCATTTGCCTGGAGATGGTACTGAAGTGTTCCCACTTCAAGACTGAGTTCAGAAAAAGTGAGAAATTACAGTGCTGGCCCTGCCTGGTGAGAATAAACAGGGTTTAAACAGTGCCAGTCAAGCCAGGCATGCTGTTTCACATTCAAGGCTTTCCAGCTGAAATGGCTTGTGTTTTCAGTCTTGGGTAGAAGAAGCTTTGAGGTGCTTGGGAAGAACTCACTCTCTTCTGTTCGGATAGCAAACAGAAGACAGCAAAGGAGATTCTGACTACATATAAGGAAGAAAAAAATCTCCAGTAAAAAAAAAAAAAATTACCCAGTTCAACACTGCTACAGAAGCCCAAAAAAGTTGAGGAATCTCCATCCTTGGTGATGTTCAAAACTCACCTTGACAGGCTTCCCAAAGAACTCTGCTCCATTGCTGGTTGACCAGCTAAGAAACCAGGATTCTTGAAAATAGTGGTGGTGATTGTATTTATCTCTTTAACTGGGATCTCAAACATAAATTTTGGTCATCTAGGTACCACAGTGATGGTGCCAAAGTAAACAGTCATGATATCTTTGGTGAATAATGTAAGGAGACAACCCAGAAACTTCTGTCTTCCATATCTCGGAGCTTAGATTTACAGCAAAAGTAATATATGAGCAGTCTTTGCTGACTGCTTCACAGTTTTATAGGGTTGAATCATTAAAAGACATTTTGATCCTCAGGAACTGTTACTTCTGAGATGGTTTAAAATTTTCGTGACTTCCAAGGAAATAGAGATCATTCCACTAGCTAAGGAAATATATGCCTAAAAATAGGTTATCATAAGAGGATTGACAGCTGGTACCTGAGTGGCAAGTTCATGTACTTGGAGAAGACAGAAGGAGAGGAAGGGTAATTAAGGAAGTTTATCGAAGGATCCTGTGCACAGGAGATGTATTGCTTTGCACTTGGATTTGGAGGAGTGTGGGGAATAGTGGATTCCATAGCAAAGAGAAGTAATCTTACTGAAAGCAGTTTTGGAACAAGTAACTAGCTGAGGCAGCCATGGAAAGGTGCTTGTGTGGACAAGAGAAGAGGGTGGTTTGAAAGTTGGGATGGTTTGAGGTTTCTGTTTACGTAGTTTGGTGTAGGGCAGAAGTAGTAGGAGAACTGAAGAATGAAAGATGAGCGTCTTTGGGTGTAGTCAGATTCTGTACACATCAAGTGCTAGGGGGAAGGGCAGGACAGTGGTTAGCAATTTAGGGGCTTGGTAGTCTTTAATTCACAGAGGTTAGTGCTTCCCTCCTACTCTCCCTTAAATGCTTCCATAATGTTTACTCTATCCTTCATTGTGGAGTAAGCATTTTTCATTGAGGTGTGGAAAAGGCAGAATAAAAATTTTTAAAAACCCAAAACATAAAAAAAAAGAAATTACCCTTTTTATTTGCTAAATCACAACCAGATTTTTGATTTAGCCACAGTTTATTTTAAGGAAAATAATTGCCAGTCTAATCCAGATAATGGCTGCATGATTCCTCTTGAAGAGCAATGTAACTTTGGTGAGATACAGGGGAAACAGATGTTGTAAGAGTGATGTGCAGGTGAGGAGGGTAGCAGCAGAACAATTGGTCTCCTTGGAGCCAGAAAATGTTTTGTGTCTGGTTTTGTGTATGAGGGATTTTTTAGTTATATCTGTTTTGTGGAAATTTTGATGTTTTGGTGTGAGATCCAGCAGCCAAAGTATATTTGGGTTCTGTTTTCTGCTCTGTGACTCCGAAGTTGTGTGACATGAGCATATCTGAATTGTGAGCTGTTTTCAAGCCTTCTGCAGATAAATGAGGTCCCATTGACTGAAATGAAAGTATTCTTCAGTTTGTTTGACCTCTGTTACTGCATTTGTTTGCCTTCATTATGAATGCTTAAAAGTCCCCATCTCTTAGGATTTCACTGGTCTAATAAAAAACTTATAGATATTATAATATTAGAGATTGACTACAGTACAAATGGTGATTATTTATATCTCAATGTAAAGGTGTCTTGCAGGTTTGATTTTGGTGTGCTCAGGCAGCAGTCTTTACTACTGTTCCAGGAGACTGCTGCTGTGTGCTTGGGTAGTTGTTTTCTGTAAAGAAGGACTTCCTGACTTCTCACCCTGAAATTTTCTCCTTTTTGCAGTTGCATCCAGTGCTGTTTTTATTCTGTGATGTGTTGTATACATGCTTCATAAAGTAATAAGCAGTACCTGTATCCATCCTCACATTTAATCTTATTTTTTTCTCAATAATATTTAATGATTTTATTTTTCTCTTTACTCAGAAGTCATGAACCAAAACTTTTGCCTCTTGCTGAGATTCCTTTAGTTTCCTTACATTTTAGTGATGCCCAGAGTGCCTTTGGTCCATCTGTCTTGGGTGCTCTGGGTTCTCACAGAGAGAACTGTTCCATCCTGCCCAAATTTCTCTCCCTCTCCAGTACAGCAAATCTAATTGTGGTCCACTGCCTTTTCACATACTCCCCAGGCTGCTTTTTCCTCTGCTATGCTCAACTGGCTCAAATCCCTACTGCAAGGTTTTCAGATAATTGCAATGAGGCTGCCCCTTTTAATTACAACTCTTCCCCCCTCCTCCCCTCTTTCAGCCAAATTATTGAGCCATTTCTGTATATTGCCTGAGACATTTTTCTTTCTCCTTAGCTACGGTTCACTGTCTCACTGAAGACATTGGAGCATTTTCAATGCTCTGCTCAAAGAGCACCTGAAGAAAAAAAACCATACTGGCTTTTTGCATGCAACCTACATATTACTGTGATATTTCTCTGCTGGGCTGAGAATTGGACAGATGGAGCTAGAATTACCTTGCTTAGCAAAATTGTTATGCTGTATTGATCTAATGCAGTGCTGGATTAGGCTATATGCTGCTTCCTTACTGTAAGATAAGCTTTTATGTCGGGTATGGTGGTGGTAGAGTTTTGTTTGGATTTTTCCCACTTAAGATAATAAAGTTGGACTTGTGTGATTTTTCTGGCTATAATGCAGGCTCCCTATTTGACCTTAAATATCACAGCATTTGCTTCCTCATGTACAACATATCAATGGGAAAAATACTGTCCAACTTAGTAGTGCTGTGCAGTCATATGCTTAAAGGGACAAATGCCTGCATCTGAAATGCAGTTACAAGTGTGTCAGCTGTGCAGATTTGTGTTGGCAAAAACTCCTGTCATGGCTACTGCCCTGCAGAGTCCTTAAAAGGCAAAGTCTAAACTACAAGAGATGGAACTTGAAAAGCATACAGGGGAAATGGAATGGACACCTTCCAAGAAACATTGCCAAAGATGCAGAAAGGACCAGGACTTCCATAATAGTACAGTCTATACTGTAGTAGAGATTACTGTTGATTTGGGAACCACACTGTCCCTGATGCCATGAAAGTCTCAAAATCTGTGTCTCAAAAAACCACCTGTGACTGACTGAATTCTTGAAGGGTGCTTATATGGAAAATACTGGGTCTTTTTTATCCATATCTTGGAAGTAGTAAATGATGGAATAGGTGTATAAAAACTGTCAGTTTTGTGTTAGAATGACCTGATTTCTGTTTCTACCTTCTGTTTTTTCTTAAACAGTATTTCTCTGTGAAGACCTCTGTGCTTTAATTTGGGAAGATATTAAAACATTCCAAGAAATCTCAGACCATTTCAAGGGAGTGGTGTGTGCTTGTTGAAGATGGTGGTATTTACAGAGAATCTTCATGGATTCTAATGCTGGCATCAGTGCAAGAAGAGTGTCGGGAATGGGTTGGCTCTGGATGGTCTTCTTCTTTCATCTAGTCACCTCATTAGAAGGTAAGAACAGATGTTTCACATCAACTTTAAAGAGTTTTCTGTAGAGGTTAAAAAAAAGAAAAGTGTGCACTCCAGTATGCTTATATCCTAGTCCACATGAGCACTGAGCACACGTCTTTCTGTTTGATGGTTGATCACTATCTGTTGGGATTTAAGAAGTTATTAGTATTGTTTCTGGTGGGAGAGGCAAACAGTCTTATGAAGGATCATTAGTGAGCATTACTACTAACTATCTCAGAAGTGACTGCCTCAAAGAGTAGATTTTTTTCTCCAGGAATAAGCTCCTTGTTTATACTTTGCACGTATTTGATTCTCATGTTTCTCTTCTTACACCATGTTTACTTTGTGAAACATTCTCTGCATGCCTATACTGTTGAAGAAGACTGCACGCAATTGGCTGAAATCAAGAGTTTTTGTCTCACCTCTGAGAAACTTGCTTCAAATAACAGATATGGAGAGAATGCTTTGCATTAACAAGAAGAGGCAGTTCATATTCAGCCAGCAGAGAGAGGAGGGAGAAAGCACTAGAGGCAGGGTAGGGAAAAGGTAAGCAGGGGAAAAGAGGTGCCAAGAAAATGGTAGAAGAAAGAATAGAAGATAGAAGGGAGGGTGATGAGAGCAGGAGATAAGAGCTATGGAGCAGAGTTAGAGAAGGGCAGAGGTACTGTAAACAGTCCCCTTGTTTGTTCCAACAATATCCTTGCAGCTACATGTGCTCAGTGAACTGTACTGCTTTGTGATGAATGTTCATCTCTTGCATTTCTGAAAGCCACTGAAAGAGGAGAGGAGGGAGAGATGGACTCAAAGGGAAGCAAGGAAAGATAGAGGAGAGGAGAGGAGAGGAGAGGAGAGGAGAGGAGAGGA